GGTAGTTCAAGCTCCAATATTCACTCATTCATTCATTCACACACACACACAAAGCTTCTATGCATTCTGTACCATTTTCAAATGCATGTCTTTGACTTCATATAGAACACATTCATGAGACCTTTTTTTACCTCTTTGCTGCATGTAAGGCCGTATGCACTGAGCATTCATTTACCCCGTGCCAACTCTTACACAACAGACTGTGGTAACTATGAGTAGAAAAGATGAAGTCTACAGAGAAAAGTAGGAAAACATTTAGGTATTTTGCTCATAGCAATAGAGGTGGACCAATTGGAATACCCACAGTTGCAGGACTCATATTCTGGTGCCAGACTTGGCAATGAACTGAAGTTAGCACGCTTAGGTCCTTTTACAGGATAATGATACTGAAAGAATCAAACCCAGAGATAACATGCAGGGCAGGCAAACAGGAGGTGGTGAACTAACTCTGTTCTGTCCCAGTCATAAAAATGACTCAAAGCCCAGACCCACCTACCCAGTTCTTAATCTCATCAGTATTTTATCTGTTTACTGTAAGGCTTTTCAAAGTTCCACACAGAGAGACCGAAGCAACTATTAGGTATGGAAAATTAAAAGGTGCTGTAGAAGAGAACTAAAATTAGAGAGTCTAGGCTGTATTTCTGCCACTCCATCACTCACTCGGTGACCTTGCTGGAATCAAGCTTCTCCTTGGTTTTTGCCTTCAAACCATTACATAACTCAGTTGTAAACCAATGTTTAATCATAAACTAGCCCTGTGGCTTTATTAATATTCCAAACAGCCCTTCCAACCAGGTAATAACCCAGTATCTGGGGGGGGAGGGGGGGGAATGGGTATCATAAAGGGTAGCTTTTCTATACTTGTTGCGACAAATAAGATAGTGTATATATGTATGCATATATGTAATATCCACAAATACATGAAATATATACCATATATACACACATATATAAAGAATATCAGTCAATCTGAAATAAACAAAAAGAGAAAGCAATTAGCAATAACAACTGGGGGCTGAGAACGTGGCTTAGTGGTAGAATGCTTGCCTAGCATGCATGAAGTCCTGGGTTCGATTCCTCAGTACCACATAAACAGAAAAAGCTGGAAGTGGGGTTGTGGCTCAAGTGGAGGAGTGCTAGCCTTGGGCAAAAGAAGATCAGAGACAGTGTCCAGGCCCTGAGTTTAAGCCACAGGCCTGAGGAAGGAAGGAAGGAAGGAAGGAAGGAAGGAAGGAAGGAAGGAAGGAAGGAAGGAAGGAAGGAAGGAAGGAAGGAAGGAAGGAAGGAAGGAAGGAAGGAAGGAAGGGAAAGAAACAATAACAACTAGCCCTCCCACTTCACCTTCTCCCCCACCCCTGCAAAAAATAATAATAACTTTAACTTTGGTTATAAGACTAACACTTTATTTATTTATTTACTCATTCATTATTTGCAGCCTGGGGTTTTCAGAGCATCATGGATTCTAGACAAGGGCTCTACTGACAAGGCAGGTATCCAGTCCTTCCCTGCACTGTTTATTTTAACTTAAGGTCTCACCTTTTGCCTAGCTGCACTTGGACCATGATCCTCCGATTTTTGGCTTCTTACCATAGCTGGGATAACAGGCACACACTATCTAGCCCAGCTTTTTCCACTAAGATGGTGTCTTGCAAACTTTTTTGTCTAGGCTGACCTGGACCCTGGATCCTCCCAACCTCTGATGACAAGTGTGAGCTACCATATCACATTCATATTTGCTCTTTAAAAATGAAATCACTGACAGAAAATGGAAATATAAAGACATACTGATATAGGAATTTGGTTACTTGAGTTTCTTGACTTTGTGATATTCAAAACTGTAGGTGCTGGGCCAGGAGTTGTAACTCCATGATACAGCACTTCCTTAGCTTTATAGGCCCTAGGTTAAATCCTCAGCATCACACACACACACACACACACACACACACACACACACACAAACCAATATTATGATTAAACAGAAAATCACAGCTGAACATAAAACAGCGGGCACATTCTATATGCACGTTATATATTATAGCACATGCATATATGTGTAAATATACATGTGAACCTATGTACATTGTGAATGTACATCTACATGTAAGTATACATACGTGTATCTATGTATATATTCACATATATATGTATGTGAATGATCCACTATGCTTTAATATACACAAAGAAAGTCATGGAAGGGATAAAATGGAGCAAGAATGGTAGCAAAGAGAGAAATTTACACTATAGTCTTATTCACTTTCCAAAATGCTTTATAAAATACTTCAGAATCAACATTTTATCTTCAAATAAAGGTTCTTAAAATTAATACATTATGACAATGACATTGATTTTATTCTGCTGCTTTGGACCAAACATAAAATGTGTTTTGGTTATAAAAAAAAAAAAAAAGCTAATAAGATAGAGAAATGTGGGCCCAGACTACAGAAATAAACTTAACAAGTTAGCTGGGCACAGGTGGCTTGCCCTGTAATCCTAGATATTTAGGAGGCTGAGATCTGAGGATCTTGGTCCAAAGCCAGTCAAAACAGAAAAATCTATGAGACTCTCATCTCCAAGTAAAACAAAAACCAGAAGTAGAAATGTGGCTCAAGAAGTAGACCACAAGGGGGCTGGGAAGGTGGCTCAGTGGTAGAGTGCTTGCCTTGCATGTCTGAGGCCCTGGGTTCGATTCCTCAGCACCACATAAGCAAAAAGAAAAAAGCTGGAAGTGGCGCTGTGGCTCAAGTGGTAGAGTGCTAGCCTTGAGCTGAAGAGCTGAGGGACAGCGCCCAGGCCCAGAGTTCAGGCCCCATGACCGGACCCAAAAAAAAAAGAAGAAGAAGAAGAAGAAGAAGTAGACCACAAGTGAAAAAGCTAAGGGATGATGCCCCACTCTTTGTTTAAGCTCCAGTACCAGCACCAAAACAAAAAGAAAAAAAAAAAAACTATCAATGAATCCACTGCTACCACTTCCAATTTCCAGAAGATCCCCCAAGAATATTTGAATATGCACATATCTTTAACAATTGACAGTGATCCAAGTGGCTTGGGGAGGTGGGGAGGAATCTTAATTTTCATTTCACTAACTATATGAAAGGAATGAAGAAAGCTTTAGATCCCCTTGGCAGTCTGGCAATAATGAACAGCACACAGTGTATGCATACAGACCTGTGCATTCATTTCTGATAAACAGCTTCATGTAGTAGAAAGACAAGCCCATTTACCATGCACAACGAGTCTCTATAATCATAATCACACTTTCCCGGAGTTTGTTACATACAAATGTCTCACCAAAACCCCACACAATTATGAGCAAGCTGGCACAAACAAGGAATTGTTACCTTTGTAAAATCTAAATGTTAAAAGAGTGTAAAATGATCCACACTGACATATTTCCTGTGCAAAGACAAAACATGCAAATACCAGCTCCACACCGGAGCCATGTAAGGCAGAAGTGGGGGAGGGGGGGGAAGAAGGAAAGATGGAAGGATGGAAGGAAGAAGGAAAGGAAAGGAAAGGAAAATGTTCCTTTATTTTCATTCTTTCCCTCCATCCTCAGCACTCAAACATGAAGTGTCAAGCTGGTTTTCTAAAATTATGCAGAGCAAACATTACTAATGGAAAATTACAGTTGCAAGCCTTAACTTTTAAGGTTTATGAATGAATGAAGTTATTGCTCCTAACTACCTTGCTGGAATTTTTCCACTCTCATTTCAGTTCAAAATACAGTATTTATGCTTCTCTCCAGCTTGGTAAGTCACCTTCAGACCAGCTCAAGGTTTCAATGCTGAAAGATATCCAAAGCTAAGTAATTTCTTACACTTCTACAAATTTCTTATATCTCTTATAGCCCTACAGGCTAATGGAGAGTTACTCATAGTTCACATTTCTTTCATTCAATATCAGAAATACAACAGTTGACATTTATTCTCTGTATTCTTCCACATACCTAGGTTTCTTTTTAAAAGATAGGAATGATTTGTTCTGGGGTGTGTGTGTGAGAAAGAGAGAGGAGAGAGAGAGACTTGGGAGCTATCCCTTAGGTTTTGTTTTTGGGGATTTTTTTTTGGGGGGGGGTTGTTTGTTTGTTTTACTCAGGCTAGCATTGTACCACTTGAGCCACAGCCTCACTTCTGCTTTTTGCTGATTAATTGGAGAAAAGAACCTTACTGACTTTCCTGCCCAGGCTGACTTTGCTTGAACAATGATCCTCAGAACTCAGCCTCCTGAGAAGCTAAGATCACTGGCAGGAACCCTTCATAATGATTCAATTCTGTTCGAGTATTCTTGAGAATGTTATTTTTCTCATGAAAAAGAAATATTTATACTTAATCCAAATCTTTGTTTGAGGGGAAGGGAAGGAGGGAGGAAGGAAAAGAGGAGAGAGGAGGATAGGGAGAAAGAGGAGGAGGGAGAATTCAGGAGAGAGACAACCACAGACCTCCTAGCTTTCCAGGCTTTGATGCAGTCTTTCCGGGAAGAAAAGCCATGGGAGAGCTCCTGGGAAAGCCACGGCGGAGAAAGCAGCAATCTTGGGGTGAGTGGCCCCAGAGTATCTTCTTCCCAACAACCATCTAGAAACCCGTGACGGCCCCCCACCACCACCCCAGCCCCGCGCTCCGGCCGCGGCCCGCAGAAAGCCACGCTCCAGGTGCGCCCGACTCCTCCAGCGGCCGCTCGGTCGCTGCCCACACGGAACGCACCCGGGTCCGGGCAGGCTCGGGGCGCCTTTAATCTGGCCAGCCCAAAGAAATGCGCCCTAAACTGCGGGCCCGGCTGCGCGCCCCGCGCTCCGGACGGGTCGTCGGGGATGCGGGTCCCGGGCTCTTGCGGGGGATCGCCGAGGGACCTCGGGAGACCTCCGTGTGGCCACCCCGGGGCCGTGGGACGGCGCGAAACTAAGATGGGCATTAAAGGCAGCACTTGCAAAGCTCCCCCGGACTGCAGCCTGGGCCACCGACCCCGCGCGACGCCCGCCCGGAGAAGCCGGGACCAGCACTCACCTCCACCCATCTCTGAGCCTCGGCGAACGCCCCGGAGCAGTCGACCTCTGCCTCCTCCATGACTAGGGCTAGACCAGGACAGAGAGAGGAGAGACAGGCTCGGTGGGGTGCGCGCCGTGGAGCCCGCAGTGTCCCCCCACGCGTCTCGGCCCGGCGAGAGGACGGACGCTCCGGCTGCCAGCACCGGCTCCCCTCCCCTCTGTGGCGCTCGCAAGTTCAAGTTTAAGGACTCCACCCGCACCGGTGGGCGGGGCTTTCTCCAAACTTCCCCAAGTCAAAAACCTGCAGCCACCGGCGGGACCCAAGCCCGCGCCCGCGCGACGCCGAGGAACGAGCACCGGACTGGGAGCCGCGCCCCGCCCGGCCCGCCGCGCAGCCCTCCTCCCCGCGTGGCCCCGCCCAGCCCCCCCCCTCCCCCGGGCCCCCTCGGAGAGCCGACCCGCTGGGCGGGGAGATGCCAGGGGTGGCATCCGCCAGGGGGCCACGCTCGGTCCTCGCCCCGGAGGAGATGCGCCCCGGCACCCGCATCCTTCCCGCCTCCGCCCGTCCTGTCCCCCTTACCCCACCCCTGTTCTCTCCCAGCGGCCCCGGGAAGCGGCTCCCTCGCCCCCCACCCCTCCTCTCCTCACCGCCGCCCAGCCCGCCTGACATACCAGGAATAACTGCACACAATTGCACCTTTCCGGGCCAACAAACTTCCCTCCGGGGACGAAAGCGGCCAGACCCCGCCGGGCCCGCCTTCACCTGCAGCTGGACCCCGCAGGACCCCGCCCCAGCGGCGGTCCGGCCTGCAGTTCCGCCCCCTTCCCGCCTCCTCCACAGGTTCGGTGGTTCCCGCCCCCCCCCCATTTCCACCCCGGGGGACCGCCGCACCCTCCTGCCCGCAGGTGAAGGGAATGACCCGCACGTGCAGCCAGTCAACTCCCCCTTCCCCCCAGCCACCCCGGGGCCAGCTCCGATCCCACGGATTTCAGGTGTGTTGGAAGGGACCTGCCACTCAAAGCCCCGCTAATTACAGAGGGTTCAAACTTGGCGTTTCTGTCGCCGGCCGGCCTGCTCCGCCCCTTTCCGGATGTGTCACAGTGTCACCACCCTCACCTGAGAGCCAAACCCCGACCCTGGCTCCACGCAGCAGGCAGCCAGGTGACAGAGTCACTCGGGCCCCGCAGCGTGCTGGAGTTGCTGCGCCCGGGCCCATCCTTTCTAATGCTGGCAGCGAACTCAGGTTTTCAGACAGCCACCAGCTCGTTCCCCTCTGAGGCTCCGGAAGCCCCATCCAGGTACCACGTGCCACTTCACCTAAACTTCAACTGAAAATCGGTTCCCCGGGTTGAAATAGAGGCGACGTCTTAATTGTTCCGGCTGGTTGTTTACGTTTCCTGATGTGAAAGGCACACACATAGCAGAGGCTGGTGTCCTGAATACCCCTCAGGCCTGCCTTCAACACGTGTTGGCGCCTTTTCTAACTGCACCCCTCACCGTTTCTACAGCAGAGTTTTAAAGTCCAAGACCTTCCAACATACACAGTCTCTTTAAAAGGACTCTTCCCGGCGTTACTGAAAACCATTTCCACACAGACCTAAATCTAACAAAAACTGACAATTCAGACCCAATCCCGACTCAGATTGCCCCACGTAGTCCCCAAAGTAGCTTTACCAGCTGGCCAACTGAGATCAAGAAATCCAGCCAAGGACTGGGCTCTGCATTTGATTATTTGATTATCTGATTTGTCTTATGGCTTATTTGCTTCTTTGTGGTATTTTAAACGTATTTCTTTCTCTGTATTTCCTATGTCCTGGAAGTGAGATCTACAGGCTAGATTGGAACCCATTTACTCTTCTGAATGAAGACCATCTGGATTGGAGTGATGGTTTCTGTGTTTATTTGGTAGGTTTATTTTTGTTCAACTTTTTTTTTTTTTTTTGGCTCTGTCTGTAATCAGAAGAGCTGAGGAGTCTCTAAAATACAATTGTTCCTACTGAAGTGAGAGGCCAGTGACTGGACCATATCAGCATCTGCCTACCCACAAATCAGGCCACACTTGTGGAGGGAATGGAATGATGAAAGAAAGAGGGGGAGAAATTTCCCTCTTTGGGGATATCCAAGAACTCTTACGTTAAATATTTAGCTAATAAGCTGTACTTGGAAAGTGCTACGTGTGGTAAGTGATACAAACATTTTTAAAATTCTAGACAATCCCAACTACTAAAAGAACATACATTCTGTGGGTTTTGTGGGGTTATTTTTAACTGTGATTAATACATACATGTATTATACTGTTTGGAAATGACTGCTAGAGGTTTAGTTAGCCTCACCTCAAACTAAATTCTAGCAACAAAGTCACAGTCAGACCCAGGATGTGGATTTCAGCAGCTGAAGCTACCAAAGTGACTAGAATCAAAGAATTGCAATTTCATCTTTTGAAAAGTATAGAAATGAAACCATCTAATAGTACTAGATTCTTTCCACAAAATAAAGAATTATGAGACAGGAGAAGTAAGAGCAGAGACAAAGTTTATTTGAAAATAGGAGTAAGATGCCAGATGAAACTGAGGAAAATTCTCTTAGCATTTGGTGGGTTGGTATAATAAGCTCCAACCTGGACTCCTGACTGCCATATGAGGTCTTCTCCATACCTGTTTCCCAGGTAAGAGCAGGGAGAAAAGTACAGACTTCTCCATGGAAGAGAGTGAGAAGGAGTCCCAGCCTGGTGTAGGCTCAGAGGGTCTCTCTTGTAGGGATTGTATGTCCTTATTTATTAATTTCATGCAGGTATTGAGCTTCAACTTGGAGCCTGCACACTATCCCTTCGCTCTTTTACTCAAAGCCGGTACTTTACCTTTGTCCCTTATGCTGGTTAATCACAGATAGGAGTCTCACAGACTTTCCTGCCTGAACTGGCTCTGAGCTACAACCCGCAGATCTCCATCTCCTGAGTAGCTATGATTACAGGTATGAGCCTCCTGAACTCTGGTAGGTAGTATTTTTTTTTTTTTTGCCTGTCCTGGGGCTTGATCTCTGGGCCTGGCTCCTGTCCCTCAGCTCTTCAGCTCAAGGAGGTGCTCTACCAGTTGAGCCACAACGCCACTCCGGTTTTCTGGTGGTTTATTGGAAATAAGAGTTTCACAGGAAGTGGTGCTGTGGCTCAAGTGGTAGAGTGCTAGCCTTGAGCTGAAGAGCTGAGGGACAGCGCCAAGGGCCAGAGCTCAAACCCCACGACCACCAAAAAAAGAGTTCCACAGACTTTCCTGCTCAGGATGGCTTTGACCCGAGATCCTCAGAGCGTTGGTTTGTTTGTTGTTGTTGTTGTTTTGCCAGTCATGGTGCCTGAACTCTGGACCTGGGCACTGTCCCTCAGCTCTTCAGCTCAAGGCTAGTGGTCTACTACTTGAGCCACAGCACCACTTCCAGCTTTTTCTGCTTATGTGGTGCTGAGGAATCGAACCCAGGGCTTCATACATGCAAGGCAAGAACTCTACCACTGAGCCACCTTCCCAGCCTTTTTTTTTTTTTTTTTTTACTTATAATATTTGCCACATTAAGACAGATTGGAAAATTTTAGCAGTGGTTGTGGTTAGTTGTAAATAGAGATTTTTGTACCTCTATCTTTTCCAAGTTTTTGCTTGCAAGAGACATGTATGTTAATTTTATAAATGGGAAAACTTATGTGATAAGAAGGTACATCCAAACTTGATTTTCTATTGCATTCCAAAAGCTTCAGTCTCCCTTGTAAATGTGTAAAATGTTATCATGCCTAAAATTGCAAGATTATGCTGGACATCCTCATCTCACTCCCATGCCCATTTCATTCTGAGACCTGTCAACATCTTAAATATTTGTTAAATTGACCCTATTCTTCTCAATATCTCCACTTCCCTAACTTAGGCCCTTATTAGCTATAGGCTAGACTTTAGACATAGTATAAACTTGCAGAAATGTAAATCTTATGATTCTTCTAACACTTTCCTTCCAATTGGCCTTTCTTCAAAATACTGCCTGCTTGTTCAAGGCATCTGATGAATGTCCGTGCACTGTGTAGTGGCCTCATCATCTGTCATGTCTATTTCTGTACCCTGTCTTGACCTATCCTTCTCACTCTTCCAAAAATATGCTTCTTTCTCTCTCTTTGCCTGGCTTTCTCCTGACAATTTGTCCAAGTTCCATTGCTTTTCAGAATACTTCAAAAAAGCCTTGGCAGATTATTAGGCCTAGTCTTGTTTATATAAGTACAGTCCCTTTCTCAAGGTATTGACCATTTTTCCTCATTGAACCAAAATCCTGGCTTTTTTATAATACTGACCTGGTGGTCAACAACTGTTTATTGATAAGACTGCCATCCAAGGATAATATAGAGTAGAAGAGGTTTTTATTCAGGTTAGCAACTCAGGTTAACTTTCAACAAGATGTATACAAATGCTGGGCACTGGTGGCTCATGCCTATAATTCTAGCTACTCAGGAGAATGAGATCTGAGGATCTCGTTTCAAAGCCAGTCTGGACAGGAAAGTTTGTGAGACTCTTATCTCCAATTAACCATCATCAGAAAACTGGAAGTGGAGCTGTAGCAGAACACTAGCCTTGAGCACAAAAGCTGAGGGACAGTGTCTAGGCTCTAAGTTCAAGCATCATAATCAACAACAACCACACACTCACACACACACACACACACACACACACACACATACACACACACACAAAGATCTATCGAAGTTGTTGGCAGCCCCACATTGCTGGTGATGGCAGTCTCATCATTTGAAGGACACTTCATAAAGCAAGCACTGGACTCTACTGTGCCAGTAGACAACCACTGTGAAGAACTCAAGTTTCAGGGGCTGGGAAGGTGGCTCAGTGGTAGAGCACTTGCCTTGCATGAATGAGGCCCTGGGTTCGATTCCTCAGCACCACATAAGCAAAAAGAAAAAAGCTGGAAGCGGTGCTGTGGCTCAAGTGGTAGAGCGCTAGCCTTGAGCTGAAGAACTGAGGGACAGCGCCCAGGCCCAGAGTGCAGGCCCCACAACCGGACCCAAAAAAAAAATTTAAAAAAAAAAAAAAGAACTCAAGTTTCAAACAACTGCCAGAGAGATTAGTCTATATTAGCGCCTTGTAAGCACTGCCTGTAGCCAGACAAGCCTAGGTACAGAGCCCAACACCAAAGGCTTAGAGAACAATAAAGAGAGAGCTG